ACTGATAGGCAGCACTGATGGGAACTTATAGGCAGCACTAATGAGGTGTCACAGATAGGCGGCACTGATAGGTTGCACTGACTGGCATCACTGCTAGGCATTGACTAGCGCAACTGCTGGGCACTGACTGGAACAAGCACTGGGCCCTGACTGGTGGCACAGGTGGGCGCACTGCTGGGTGGCACAGGTGGGCGCACTGCTGGGTGGCACAGGTGGGCGCACTGCTGGGTGGCACAGGTGGGCGCACTGCTGGGTGGCACAGGTGGGCGGCACTGCTGGGCACCGATCATCAGAGCACTGATCATCAGTGCCCTGATGATCGGTGCCGATCCCTGCTCTGACAACTGCCGATTCTCGGCAGTACTCAAAGTGCAGCCGAGAACCGGCAATTGCATTTCCGGGTGATCAGCGTGTCATTGGACACGGCTGATCACGTGGTAAAAGGCCGCTGTGATTGGCCTTTTACCACATCACATGATCATCTGTGTCCGTAGGACACAGCGATCATGGAGATTGCTGGGTGCGCGCCCCCGGGGGCACGCAGGAGAGCACGTTCTGGGAGGATGTCATATGACGCCCTCCCAGAACTGGCCAGCCGCAGTGTAGTCGTCATTCGGCTATCTGCTCTTGGCAGGTGGTTAAAGAAGGGAAGGCTGTAGGGTAAGTGGAGGGGGGGGAGGTGGGGTTAGGGAGAGTGCCTTTCCCTCCTAAGATATGGGGCTGTAAGTTTCGATTGATGCACACAATGTAGAAAGATACAGTCCCTGCATGCAAGGGTGGCTCCATGGAATTCTGCACAAGAAAGGAGCCACCCTGAAACAGGAAACCTGGGGCAGCAGTCGTGGCACCAGCTTAAACTGGAACATAGAGGAAACGTTGGGGACATTTCACCTCACTTCCTGGTGATGACATTATCGGGACAGGAGGCAAGGTGAAATCTCTGTAATGGGGAGCAATAACCTACAATAAAGCTTATCACACATGGCAATGTGATTTTTGTAAAATGTTATTTTACTTTGCCAACAGACGTGTAGTAGGATGGACTACCTGAGTGGATATAAATTGAATGGTATACTTAGCTAGGCCCTCACAATTTTACAAATGTATAATTCCTGCTAGAAATAGATTTTTAGTATAAAAGCTGCTGGATTCCCATGTATATGTACAAGGTCCTTTTTCCCCCCCCCCCCCCCCCCCCCCCCCCCCCCCCCTTTCCTTCCTTAATATAGTTTGGAAAACAAAACAAAGGATAAAAGAAACTGCTGTAGTGACGTTAATGCCAGTCTCTGCACTAATATTAGAATGCCTATTGTTACTCTAGGCGGAGCCTAATGCTGCTGGCGACAGTCTTACAAACTCCACATGTGAGACATCTATTGTTTTTGACCCAATACGTCTCCACAGTTTGTAATAGACCTCAGAACAATGACTTGGCCTCTTGGTATTGACCATTTCATCACCATGTTATTTCCTTTTTCGGTTGTTTTTAATGCTGAAGTGTCTGGCATGAGTATAACATTTAAGGAAAATATAAATCCTGTGATATGGCAGCAAAAGGTACTTGTGCCTTTCTTTTATTTGTATGCATCTAGGTAGCGGCCAGGTCGGGCACAGTCTGTACACAACCCTGACCTTCTGTTCCAAGCCAGTGCTCACAGTTCACCCTGATATGAGTGCAGGAGCACCGGTGTCTGACATTGTACATGTGGGGGGGACTTGTGATGAACCAAGGGTGCCTGCGCCACAACAAACCTTTTAGGACATGTTCAAACCTCAGTGATGGATTATGTTGCATGTTAATATGCATTGTTGTAGGGTAGCACATTTTTTTTTTTTTTTTTTTAACACAAACTGGATTCTCCTCGCAATACCACCTGCCCCCCACCCCGTCGTGCTGATGTTTTACTACACAGGAAGTTTCGTACCCCCCAACTTTTTGTCATGCTGACATTTTTCCCCCAACTTCTTCTTGTGCTGACAATTTACTACACAGGAGGTGTCGCAACCCCCCAACTTTCTGTTGTGCTGACATTTTACTACACAGGAGCTGTCGCACCCCCCAACTTCCTGTTGTACTGACATTTTACTACACAGGAGGTGTCGCACCCCCCAACTTCCTGTTGTGCTGACATTTTACTACACAGGAGGTGTCGCACCCCCCAACTTCCTGTTGTGCTGACATTTTACTACACAGGAGGTGTCGCAACCCCCAACTTCCTGTTGTACTGACATTTTACTACACAGGAGGTGTCGCACCCCCCCAACTTCCTGTTGTGCTGACATTTTACTACACAGGAGGTGTCGCAACCCCCAACTTCCTGTTGTACTGACATTTTACTACACAGGAGGTGTTACTCCCCCCAACTTCCTGTTGTGCTGACATTTTACTACACAGGAGTTGTCGTACCCCCCCCCCAACTTCCTGTTGTACTGACATTTTACTACACAGGAGGTGTCGCACCCCCCAACTTTCTGTTGTACTGACATTTTTACTACACAGGAGGTGTCGCAACCCCCCCCAACTTCCTGTTGTACTGACATTTTACTACACAGGAGGTGTCGCGCACCCCCCAACTTCCTGTTGTACTGACATTTTACTACACAGGAGGTGTCGCACCCCCCCCCCCCCCCCCCCCAACTTCCTGTTGTACTGACATTTTACTACACAGGAGGTGTCGCACCCCCCCCCCCCAACTTCCTGTTGTACTGACATTTTACTACACAGGAGGTGTCGCGCACCCCCCAACTTCCTGTTGTACTGACATTTTACTACACAGGAGGTGTCGCGCACCCCCCCCCAACTTCCTGTTGTATTGACATTTTACTACACAGGAGGTGTCGCACCCCCCCCCCCCCCCCAACTTCCTGTTGTGCTGACAATTTACTACACAGGAGGTGTCACTCCGCTCAACTTCCTGTTGTGCTGATGTTTTACTACATAGTAGGTGTCACCCCCCCCCCCCCAACTTTTTGTCATGCTGACATTTTTCCTGTTTCCTTCTGACCACACTAGGCACAGAATCACATCCCTCTAGCCAGGTCAGTTTGCTTCTTTGCCTTCTTTTTGGAAGCTCCAGGATGCTGTGCCTGTGCACGACATTCCAATACTCCTGTGTCAAGACCGCTGCTGACATGCCACCATTTTCAAGTTTTTTTTTTCTTTTGAAATGGTTTCCCTTCTATATGTATTTTATGTGATTTATAATAAACAAAAGATTCATATAAACGTACACATTACACATATACAGTAAAACAAGAGTTTGGGATGCCGGGGCATTACGTTTATGCGTAGTAGACTTGTGAAGAGTGCTAGAAATTTTCTACTACTTCTGTTTACTTCTAAATTTTTTTTGTTGATTTGTAGATCTGTAGATTTTCCATTTCAAATGTTTATGAATTAGGAAGATACTATTTTGTAAATTGAGCAAGGTGCATAAAAAATAAAGACATATATTTTGCTGATCTTCATACAAAGAGGTCATTGAACAGATTCTGGTTGCTGAGCCTTCACAGACAGGCTTCTCGGCTGATTGCAGTGGCAGTCTCCTGCCTCTAGCAAATATTTCCTATATTTAGATTGTGTTGTCCTGTTGGGGTGAGGGCTGGGGGGGGCGCTGCGATCCAGGGCTGGCTGACGGGTGGCCCTGTACACTATTATGGAAAGCTGATGGTATGGGGCATGAGAAAAAAGCATGAGCCATAGGGAAAACCGTAAAACTGAAAATTAAAATTACAAAGAGATTAAGCAAAAAATTTTTGGGCCTCTCAGACATTCATGGCTCTGCTCTGCATTACTGTTCAAACAGACTATATTTAAGCTGGACCATGCTATTAGGACTGTGGGTGTCCTCAAATAACTGATATCAACAACAAAAGAAAAGGACACATCAACCTAGTGCATTACCAAAAAAAAAAAACATTTATTTAAAGTGTATAAAAGGTAATCTACTCACAAACACATGACTTGCATTGGCATAATATAATGGGTATGCAGATGAGACTCTCTAGGTCCACAGTACCCAGCCAGTAGTGTGGGAAGTCTGTAGTGTCCTAATGGCAGGAATACACGGTAAAAAAAAATTGATTGATCAGTCATCCGACGACCAATCGGCGTTCGTTCGTTGGTCGAAATTGTGCCCCACATTAACCAATCGAAAAAGTTCGTCGAGCAATACGTAGTGTTAACATCTTGCGTACAAGTGGAAGTGATGCAGTGTGCATGTGACCTTGTAGCCACGCCCTTCTGCTCAGAACAAGCGTTCAATGCCCTGCCGCCCAGAAGGAGCCATTGGATATAAATCCTTGGAATTAATTGGATTTATGGATCTTTGGACATAATTGGAATAAATTGGATTTATGTATTGAACTGTGTTGTTGCTGTATTGTCTCCCGTTATATTGTAAATTGCTGAGCAAACTGTTGGCGCTATATAAATCCTGTATAATAATAATATATAAATCCTGTATAATAATAATAATATATAAATCCTGTATAATATAATATTATTTGGCACATGTTATTCAACGTTGGCATTCATTAGTGCAAAATGTGTCTGGTCACTTCAAGGGTAAAAATAAACATTTTTAGAAATCTATGGGGCAGTAGAGAGCAAATTTAGCCTTTTGATGATATATATGTATTTTGATATAAATATATAGGTGGATTGACTCTTTAATATTTTATGGTGGATTTACTGTTAATTAGAGCCACATAGGCTGATCGCTTTTGAAATGGAAGTTGAACTTTTCAAGGTAACTTCCCCAGAGCTGAGTGAATGTGGTGAAATTTCACTTTCCAAAGGATATCCAATCGTTCGTAAGGAAAACAAAAAACACCATTTTTCCTTGCACATGGTTGGATGATGAAAGTCCGCAGAGCTTCACCTCATTCACTTATTCCTCTCCATCTCTTTCAAAGTCCACAGCCTGTTTGCCTTTAGTAAATCAACCCCTTTGTTTCCTATTATGGGATTCCTAACATGCTGACACCTTCTTTCCTAGACCAAGATGGCGAATTATCGGGGACGTTATCGCTCGTGTTAACACAGTGTTGTAAAAGGATAAAAGACACCGTGCAGAAGCTGGCCTCTGACCACAAAGACATCCACAGCAGTGTGTCCAGAGTGGGGAAGGCGATTGATAAGGTATGCCTGTATTTTTCATGCTTTATCTCTCTGTTAAAGACCAACTCCATGTCTTAGTGAACTTAGTTTGTTTGGACCAAGCTGGTGCAAACAAACTATTTTCTACACTACCACATGCATTGGCTGTCAGTAGCCATGGCTACATACAGTATATAGTGCTGTATTTCGGCAGCGGGATAGGAACTTCCGTCTGACTCACTGAGCAAAATTGAGTCGAGATTATCGCTGCTCAGCCACTTACAAGAAGCTGTGTGTTTTATGAATGATTAGAAAGCTTCATCTGATTGGCTGAAGCAGAGATCGTGATGTCATCTGCCCACTGGTCTACATTGTGTGAAGGAGGGTATGCATGTTAGCATTATCCTATTTATTAAAAAGAAAAAAACACGTATTAATTTTTTTGAGTATTTTAAATAGAGGAAGCTAAAATTTCCTGTACCATTCCCACCCAACAGTCATTATTTTGGCACTGGCCAAATGTTTTGAGACAAATATTAATTTTCACAAAGTCTACTGCTTCAATGTTTTCAGATCTTTTTGTCAGATGTTACTATGGTATACTGAAGTATAATTACAAGCATTTCATAAGTGTCAAAGGCTTTTATTGACAATTACATTTGGTTTATGCAAAGAGTCAATATTTGCATCTTTTGACCCTTTCCCCCCCCCCCCCCCCCCCCCCCCTCCCCTGCTGAGTGAATGTGGTGAAATTTCACTTTCCAAAGGATATCCAATCGTTCGTAAGGAACAAAAAACAAAAAACACAGGACGGCCGGTGAAACAGGCTGTGGGGAGGACACCGAGGAATCAAGGGGCAGGCGAGTGCCTGTTTTTTAAAAGTCAGAAGCTACAGTTTTTGTAGCTGTTGACTTTTTTTTTTTGTTTACAGTTTCACTGGAACTCTGCTTTAAGTACAGTACTTTGGACTTGTAAATTGGCCTAAGGCATTATATAGGTATGTGTCTAACTATATTAGAATTTCTAAATGTGTCCAGTTGACGCTTAACTCACATAAAAAAAAAAATCTCATTGCATGACTGCTAGTGGAAGATGTTTTTGTTTTTTAAATCTTTGCTGTTAAAAGGGAACTTTTGATCCCTTTTTACAAAAATTGAAAGTCCGCAGTTGCATGCAGAGTTGTACACATGATGTACGTGTGCATTGTGGGCATTAGAGCTCCTTGTGAACCGGTGAGGAAGCAGCAGTGCTTATTGGTCATGTGATCCTAGAGTAGTCACACACATCATCAGTGTGTGCCACTGGGTTGGCATTTCACTTCCCATGGGTTTATGCTGTATGGAAGGAGGAAAATAAAACTGTCACAAAACCATTATACATTCACTATAGGCAAACAAAACCTAAAAGATTGGAAAATTTTGAGTTATGTTTTGGATAACGTCCTTCATAAGAAGTATGTCACTGGGCCATTTATTTTGGTCAATGAGTATCTTCCAGCATACACCTGTAGGGTAAATATTTACATATTTGTAAAGGAATGATAATTATACGGTATTATTTTAGAAGTGGTAATTATTAGTCATGTTGTCAGACCTGTACGCGTGGGCGGTACACGTTATTATAGCAGTTTATAGAGGAAGTACTGTGTATATGATATGTTTTATAAATCCAGCTCTGCTAATGCAGTCACACAATATAAAACCTGGGGAAAAGTGGAAGGGTGGTCCTTTGCAACCAAATCAATCCATCGGGTTATGAAAGCTTGTATGGGGCGCTGCTATGAGCACAGGTGTTTTTTTTTTTTTTTTTTTTTTTTTTTTTTTTTTTTTTCTTCTGCATGTTTTTAGTAGTAAGATGGAATTTTAAAATGTGTTTTTTTTTGGGTTTTTTTGTTTTTTTTTTCTCCTGAAGTTTTAGGTTGACAAGTTAATTTTATCCATTTCAGGATCTAGTAGTTGTCTTGAAAGGCCAGTGATCATGTGATTGCACTTAGTGTAACTAAACCCAAGACCCTGCATTCACTATATCTGATCTTCCACAGTACACAGAACATGGAAATGCAATTATTTCAATAAATATAAACTGCTGTATATAGCATTCTTGTGACTTCTATCAGTGTCTGGCCGAGCACTGGTTAAAGCTTGTAACCTTGTAGTTTACATTCTGCTCTGACTGTCCTATGAGGCTGCGTGACCCTTAACCCTCTGTCCGGACAGTGCTGATTTGCCCTGTGCTGAGCCTGTACTCCCAAAGAAGAAGAAGAAAAAAAAAAAGCTCTAGCAATACACCCCAAACTGAGCATGTGCAGAGGGACCCCTAGAGCCCTGTACAATCAGCAGATGGATTGAGGACTGTAGAAGGGCAGGATCAGAGAAGACAGGATCAAACAGCCTTTTTACACAGTTCGGCAGATTAACCTCTTAGGTTCCACAATTAGTATAACAAGCATGCTTTACTGCATATACAGACGGATTTAGTAAAAATTTAAAAGGGTGGGAAGTTAGGAGAAAGAGAAGAAGAAAGGAGCAAGGGAAAAAGAAAAAAGGGGGGATAATGGGGTCAGGTGAGGAAGACCACCAAAAGGCAACCCTTCCACGCACAAAAGTGACAGAGCATACACAGTAGTACCCCCTACTGGGACGTCCATTGGAGCCAAGCCTTGTCATACTTTCAAGGACAACCACGATTGGTACAGGTTAATTTGTACAGTGACAGAGTAGCATTAATCATGGCTTCCCAAGACAACACAGCAGGGAGGACATTGAAGGTCCACTTACACAATATTTACTTCTCAACATAATACAATAAATAGGAAAAATGATTTGGTATGAGGAGGTTGCTGAGCATCTTCATGAACCCCTAGCAGAGCCAGCTCTGGGGACATAGAAATAGACAGTTGCAACCTAAAGTTAATGAGTTCAAACACATCTGACCAGAAACCGGTAATCTGTAGGGAAGTCCCATAACATATGGAAGGAAGAGCCCAGATGGATGTGACAGCGTGGGCATACAGGATCACCATCCAGATGGGTTCTATGGAGTCTCGGGAGTATAGTAAACTCTGAAGGAATGTAGTCTGTATCCGCTTGTCTTTAGAGGAAATGACCAGTTTAGGGCAGTGCTCGAGACATTCCTCCCAATCCTTCTAATCCAGGGATGGAATATCACCCTTCCAAAGATCTTGCAATTGCCCAAGCTTGGTAGAATGTACACTCAAAAGAGCCTCATGTAAGGCACAGAGCGGTTTTCAAAGGTCACCCTGGGCCAACAAGTTTGCCACAGGATCAGTTTGGAGGAGAGGCCTCTGAAAGTTTCTGAACGTCCAGCCCGGCATTTGGAACAGTTGAGAGAAGGATCATAGAGCCAAAAAAAACAATGGGCATAATGTCCCCCAGAGTTGTTACTCCAAACCTCGCCCGCACTTGGGAATAGTATGAAGATAACACAGTTTACCCGCCAGCATGTCAAGTGTGGGAGGAAACCAGAGTACCCAGAGGAAGCTTATGCCAGCACAGGAGGACTCCGTGCAGGTAGTGGGGGGGAGGGGCAGGGAAAGGCAATGCCATCCATGGTTGTGAGAATTGATGAAATGGGAGCGGTTACTGACAAAATAAGGCTCGTCCCTATTCACTGAAGGGACATGTAGGTTGTTCTTCTGGGTCATGCAGTGTCCAATCCATTCCTCACCATTTGCATCACAAATGTGGGAGTGATGATGAGATAAAGCACATCTCTGATCTTCATTGCTCTGCCTGCTTGTGTCTTTTCAGATTTAACTACTATGCAGCTTTCACCTGCCAAACACTATACTGAGAGACCCAGGAATTGTAGCTATGTAATTTCTTAAGAGGAAGTGTCAGGTCTTAGACTTCAGACAGTGGTTGTATATTAACCTGTGCAGTGCCATGCCACATGCCTCATGCTTGAAACATCTGACACTGGAATGTGATGATGTACTGTACTATAGGCTGTGTGTACACCACAAAACTACATAGTCAATGCACATCTTATGGAGGCCAAAAACACAATGGATAGGAAGATTTATAATGCCTTTTTCAAAGTTTAAAAAATTAAAGTAACAAACCGTAAAGAAATGCCCAAAAAAGTATTTTAAAGCCCCCATGTGCACATATATATGTAAACACAAGTGTGGGATGCTGATATGAATGAAAACTTTAATTGAGGCTTTAAATGTAATGTTTGTATAGTCTGGAAATATTTCAGTTCTTTCAACTTCTGATGGAAAATGAAGACTTATTCCTGGTCTTTTTATTAGTGACATCCCTCAAAATGAGGCAGAACAGCTTCAGCTTCACTACTTTTGAAAAGTGTGTCTGTGTATCAGGAGTCAAAGCTGATCCACGTCCGTCTAATGCGTCTCGTGCGCTGCATTATATATGGTTTAATATAGTAGCTGGTTACAAGGCACCTTCAAGAAAATTTGTGTGTCCTTGTGATATGTCCATGTATAAATTAACATGACGGCAAAGTGAAATAATAATGTCAGAACAATGAAATATAGTGACTGGATGGATTATGTTGATGAATCGTTCTCCTAAATGGACATCTACCACCATTTTCTTCCTATTTTATTCAGAATTTTGATGCAGACATCAGCAGCGTGGGCATCGATGGCTGCTGGCAAGCCGACAGTCAGCGTATCCTCAACGAAGTAATGGTGGAGCATTTCTTCAGGCAGGGAATGTTGGACGTGGCTGAAGAACTGTGTCAGGTACATTCACAGAACAGGACCTCTCCCTTTACTTCTTGAATGTGTTTGCAGTATGTATAGATTAATGTTTGTGTTCTCCTTCCCTTTTTTTTTTTTTTTTTTTTTTTTTTTTTTTTTTTTTATTTGCATGTTAGTTGTTTTTTAGTATCAGGCATCTCATATGGTGTATGAGGAAGAATGTATGTTTCTGGTGCTTTAGAACCACCAATGAAATTCTCCCCTTTGCTTGTTCATGCTGTACAGGGAGACTTTATAGACTCTATTGGTTACCACTGATTTAGGCAATTTTCCCTTATCTTGGCTGTAAGTGAAAGAACAAATGGCCAGTTTATTTATTTTTTTTACTAAATGGGTTGTTTGGTCAACAAACGCTTGAATATGTTCAGTTTTTATCTCCTGAAAATCTTTTTTTTTTTTTTTTCCCCCATCAATAGAAGTGTGATATCGACCATTGTATTGTTACATGTATGGCCAGCACTGGAAAGATTTGTAAATGAGGCACTGTATGAATTATAATTGCCGGTAGGATATGTGGCTTTCCTAATAAATGTTACCCTTGGTAATATAAAACACGTAAAGCTTTAGACCCTAGAAAAAAAATAGAGAGCGCCACTCCAAGTACCAGCTTGCTGAAACCTGGTGACTCCAATGCTGTTGGATGGCGGCATCCAACGGGGCTCGCCCAACCGACTGAAACTAACTGTGGAAGAAGATGGGGAGCTGCACACCAGTATTCGACCTAGTCACCATGTATGAAAGATCGCCTTTGGCTTGTCTCCTCGAGGGGTGTGGCTTTGAAAGGAGACAAGCTGAAGCCAATCTTCCATACGTGGTGACTGGGCCGATTGCTGGTGTGCGGCTCCCTATCTTCTTTCACACTTAAAACTTTAGAGCAGCCATTCTCAACCAGGGATCCTCCAGAGTATGCTGGGGTTCCTTGATCAGGGCTGAGTTCAACTCCTCTGATGGTGCTAGCAAAAAGCTGGGGCTAATGTCACTTGGCAGAACCAGCTGCATGGTACCATTGGAGACTATCCTCATGTCTCTGAGATAAGATACCACAACAGTAAAGGATAGATTTTTTTTTTTTTTTTTTTTCCCCCACTGTCCTTGATTGTAAGGAGCATTCTTTCCATTGACCACCAATGTAAAAGGTGCATGTGTCCACAGTGCACTTGTGTAACAGAGCGTTATGCTGACCACCAGGTAAGAGGGCTGCCTTTGTTTCCTATCTCGCCATTATTATTTTGTGAATGTTTTCTGTAAAATTAAAAATAGATTAAAGTGGTTGTTAACTCTTACATACACCCACTGAAGTGACTGGCCTCAGAAGATTATTATTATTATACAGGATTTATTTAACACCCACGGTTTGCTCAGCACTTTACAATCTAACGGGTGACAATACATCAACGATACAGTTCAATACAAGAGGGATAGGAGGGCCCTGCTCCTTGGAGCTTACAATCTAAGCTCTTGTATACAACTGTCACGTGACCTGCTGTGATTGGTCACAGCAGGTCACATGGTAACCGGCAACGGGGGCCGGTACTCAGATCTGTCATCGGCCGTGTCCGAGGTACACGGACGGTGACAGAACGCGCCGCTGCGCGGCTCTGCAACCGTGCGAACTGGGCATGTGCGGGAGGACGCCAAATGGCGTATACCCCGGAAATCTACAGCACTTTTGCGGCCGCCAAACGGCTATAGGCCGGGCGGCTAATGGTGAGCATTGTCACCCTAGCACAGGGGAGCATGTAAATGGCTGAATCGTCAGGTAAAAATAAAAGGGAGAAGAAAACTAGTGCAGCTACCATATCTAAGGACTGGGAAGCCGCAATGCATTACATTTTTTTTTTTCTTGAGCTTAAATGTTCTTTTAAGCTGAACCCTGGAAAAACTAAAAGTTCTTTAATGGGGTTACACCCACACTGCACTTACCTGTTCTGCCACTCCCGCAAGCTCCGCCTGAGCCTGGGTTCACATATATGCGGTGCAGTATATTGCATGTGATTCGCACAGGAACCGCACGCATTCCTGTGCAAATCACATGCGATTTGTGTGCAGTGTGATTGGAGCCATACATTTTGTATAGCTCTAATCACACCGCACCTGCACCAAAAACGTGCAGGACCCTTTTGTTGGTCCACACTAGAATCAGATTGCATGGGTATTCACACCTATGCGATCCGTTTCTTCATATCACACCACGGTTTGCAGACCGCTTTTACGGTGTTGTTAACTTAACATATACACCCGCAGCGGTTTGCATGAATGGGCTGCAATTCTGATGTGGTGCGGAATTCACACAGAAAACGCTGTGAATTTCATACCGCATCAGTGTGAACCGGGGCTTACTGGTCCCTGAAGTATCTACTCCCCTACGCTCTTGCGATCGAAGGTCCTCTGAAGTCTTCAAGACCGATGCAGGGAACATTGCCCTGCACTGGAAATGACTCCGCTGGAGTTTAGGGGGCTGCTGTCTGTCGGGAGGAAACCAGCAGTTAACCCTTGCTGTGTCGGTACAGCCACCCTGCAAGGAGGGTTTTTGTTTCCCTTGAAGTTGTGCTGCAAATCAAAACCTTCTATTTGTCTGAGAATAACAAACACCGGCTGAAGTTCACTTGGCTGCAGCCTAATTCCAGTCAACACTGTTTGTGTAATAAGCCGTGTTACACATTGTTTTTGGGCAAAACCGTTGCTTGTGAGCTTGGTGCTCTCAGTCTTTGTAACAAACACTCCTGGTCCCGTGCTGCTTAGTGAACACAGTAGGTTCCTCACTCAGCACAGGTACAATTCAGAGAATAATTGTGTTCACAATGCAACAGAGCAGCTGCTCAGCATGGGGCCTGGAAGTTAGCGGCAGTCCCTGTAGTAGCGGTACCTACTTCAGTGATTTCCAGCTTCTCGAGGGAGAGGAATCGGCTAGGTATGATATATACATGGTTACATTGGTCACAGCTGAACCAATAGGAACTATGTAAAAATATCAATACTTGGAATTCATCTTTAACCACTTGCCATCTGGCCTTTATGCGCAAGTGGTTAGCTGGCTCACCCCGAAGGGTGTATTAAGACTCTCTCCACTCTTGCCAATTGTGCACGGCCTCTAGGGCGCGCTCTGTGATCACTGTGTTCTTCCTACCAAGCAGGTCACATAGAATTGGCCCTGTATCATGCAATCAGTGTGACCAATAATATACCGTATGTAAACAAAGGCTGCATGTTGCAGCTAGTACTGACAAATTTGTGAAATCAAATCAAATTTAGCTTTCTTCATTTTCCAAAAATTATGACAAAAACATTTCAGCTTCAAAAAACGAATTATGCTTCTAAGTGGATTTCTGTTGCTGGCTGAAAACACTAAACCTCTAAGTTAGCAGCAGCAGTGTGAGCTTGCTATGTTTGCTCCTTCAATTGACCATTGGGCTTGCGATCAGTTTTGCAGGAAGCATGAGTGGACCTGCTGAGCAGCCCAGTGGCCCTGAACTCTTCTTGGCATCTAATTGTAACCTCTGTCCTATATCCATGAAATACCAGAGCCTTTATTGCTCACTGAAGTTCTGTCAATTGAAAACTGAATGGGGGGGATTGGTCAACAAAAGGTTGGGGGGGGAGGGTAACTTTAACCCCTTCCTGTCTAACGGTAAAACAAATCTTAATGCCTTAGCACAATTTTTTGCAACTTTGACATGTGTTATCAAAACCGTACATATCTTCAAAACTACTTTGTGCATCCAGGTGGATTATACCCCGTTTTTTTTTTTTTCTTTTCAGGACAAATTGGGCTTTTATTTGGTGTTAAATGGTAATGGATATCTCCCCTGATTTTTTTTTTTTTTTTCTTCTCCCCATTTTAACTGTATATTTCTTGCTACTACCATAACCTACCACCAAAAAACAACTGAAAATAATTTCTCCTGCTCCTGACGATTGCAGCTATACCACATGTGTGTATGTTAGTTGCTGTTACGGCCCAGAAACAATAGTGCGCAATTTAGCTTTTTTTTTTTTTTTTTTAATCCTGCCACTGATACTACTACTACTACTACTAATAATAATAAAAAAACCTGACCAAAAAAAAACAGCTGCCCCTGACCTGGACTCAAACACTAACCTTGGCACAGACCTAGATCAAGCCTTGATTCTAGGTATTTTTGATTATTTTTATTTATTTATTTTTTACACACACTTGTTTTTGTTTTTTTTTTCTTCTCTCTGAAAGGACAGAGAGAGAGATGCAATGTATCTCTCTCCTCCATTCAGAAATAGAAAAAAAGGGGCGTGGGCTTCACATTGACTGATCACACTGATAGCCAATCAGAGGCTATTACAGTGATCAGGTGACCTGGAATCGGGGATGTTCCGGGTCCCGATCGTTAGAACAAAAGACCAGGGTGTCGCCGAGAGCCCCGGGTCCTGTTCTGTGAGCGTGCTGTGCGGCGTGCTCCCAGCAGAAAGACCGGTATGCAAATTAGCGGCACCATGGAGAAAGCCCAGTTCTGTAAGGCCGCTAATTTGCATGTGGTCGACATCAAGGGATTAATTTAGGCATTCAGGTCCTATTTACAGCATAGGTCTAGGAGCCAAGAGAGGAAAAAAATCAGCATTTTTTAATGATTGATCCCTAGATAAAACCTGAGTGTTTACATGTATGGCCACAGGTCAGCAATAAGGATGTATACTAGGACAACAGTACATATTGCAACAGTCGGCACTTCAGAGCTCCTTACCCCCAGACTGATTCATAAAGGATGCTGACAATTAGGGCTGGAACAGCTAATAGACATAATTGGTTTTAAAAAAAGTTGTCAACCATTTTCATTAGTTGGTCAGTCGATTAGTTGACCTGCATACAGAATGTAATATTTGTCAGTATACACAGTGCAGCTCACATACAGCTCAGTACACCATTCATACATGTCAGTAAGAAGAGAACTTGTGAAAGTTTGAGGAGCAATGCTTCATGGGACATGTAGTTTTAGGCAACAGAAGGAAGTGATGTAAGTGCTATGTGCAGGGAAGATCGGCATCTGAACCCAGAAAAGCTGGAGGCTGATAGACTGGAGGAAAACTGAGGCAATTACAATTAACTGTAAAGAAAAAGTTTACCAATATTGTGCATTATGTTTAAAATGATTTACAGGGGTTGGACAAAATGATGGAAACACCAGGTAAAGGAATGAAATCATTACCCATATGGTGTTGGACTGCATTTGGCATCCAAGATGGCCTACATTCTTTTGGGAATTGACTAATATAAGTTTGGGAAGGTGGATAATGGAATCTGATACCACTTTTCATTCAAAAATCATTCCAGTTCTTGCAGAGATGCTGGAGGCGGAAAATGAGCCCCAACCATGTTCTTCAAAATTGACCATAGTGGCTCCATGATATTGAGGTCTGGTAACTGCGGTGCCGAGGGAAGGTGCGAGAATTCTTCTGCATGCTCTTCAAACCATGCTTTGGCAACACCAGCTGTGTGAATTGGAGCATTATCGTCTTGGTAAATGGCGCTGTCCTTGGGAAGCGATGTCTGCACCATGATTCGCACATGGTCAGCCCAAATTTATACATAGTCACTGGCAGGGATTCTACCTTTCAAGGTGGTGATGGGGCCTGCAGAATACCAAGATATGCCTGCCTGAATCATGATTGTGCCATCACCATGCTTTACCATTCACACAAGACAGTCCTTGTTGTGAGCTTGGGACGTGCCACAGGTAAACCTGTCCGATGGTTGGAAACCGTGTAAAACTCGATTTATCGAACCATATTACAGTCTTCCATTGATCGATAGTCCACAATTTATGGGTGTTGCACCACTCTCTTCTCTCCTGAGCATTAATATCGGCCACTAGTGGTTTGGCAATTGCAGCTCGCTTGGTAATGTTTTGCCTATGAAGTTCTCTCTGCACAGTTTTTGAGGACACAGGCTTTGGAAGACTGAGATTGAGCTCTGCAGTCACTTGTGCAGCAGTAATTTTTCTTATTCTGGGTCACAATCCTGTGCAATGTTCTTTTTTAGTCTCTTTCAGTCAGTTGACCACACTTATGCTTATCAGACGACAGTTTCCCTGAAACTGTACATGTCGTCATAACCTTTGATACTGTACATCGCGACATGGCAAATAAATTGGCAACTTCAGTCACAGAGGCACCAGCTCAGTGGTCACCAACAACTTGCCCTCATTGAAACTCCGTAAGCTCTGACATGGCTCTGTATTACTAGCAGTGCACGCAATGAATGATGAAAGGGAGGCTTCCCACTTGTTAGCTAGGTGTCTCATCACACAGCGGAAGCAAAAGAATGTTTTATCACTTTCAACGCAAAACATGTCGCTTTCACACCTGCAAATCATGTCGTGTTTCCATATTTTTCTCCAACCCCTGTCTATCCATATGAAAAAGTTTCAGCCTTTAGTACTATAATATAAAAAGATTTATATATCCTCCCCCTCCTCCGTGTGTGTGCGTGTGTACACACACACTATATTGCCAAATGTATTGGGATGCTTGCCTTTACGTGAATTTTTAATGTCATCCCAGTCTTAGTCCGTAGGGTTTAGTATTGAGTTGGCCCACCCTTTGCAGCTATAACAGCCTCAACTCTTCTGGGAAGGCCGTCCACAAGGTTTAGGAGTGTCTATGTTTGACCATTCCTCCAGAAGTGCATTTGTGAGGTCAGGCACTGATGTCGGACGAGAAGGCCTGGCTCACAGTCTCCGCTCTAATTCATCCCAAATGTGTTCTATCGGGTTGAGGTCAGGACTGCAGGCCAGTCAAGTTCCTCCACCCCAAACTCGCTCATCCGTGTCTTTATGGACCTTGCTTTGTGCCCTGGTGTGCAGTCATGTTGGAACAGGAAGGGGCCATCCCCAAACTGTTCTCACAAAGTTGGGAGCATGAAATTCTCCAAAATGTCTTGGTATGCTGACGCCTTAAGAGTTCCCTTCATTGGAACTAAGGGGCCAAGCCCAACCCCTGAAAGACCACCCCACACCATAATCCCCCCTCCACCAAACCTTACACTTGGCATAATGCAGTCAGGCAAGCACCGTTCTCCTGGCAACTGCCAAACACAGAGACATCCATCGGATTGCCAGACAGAGAAGTGTGATTCATCACTCCAGAGAACATATCTCCACTGCTCTAGAGACCAGTGGTGGCGTGCTTTACACCACTGCATCCGATGCTTTGCATTGCACTTGGTGATGTAAGGCTTGGATGCAGCTGCTCAGCCATGGAAACCCATTCCATGAAGCTCTCTACACACTGTTGTGCTAATCTGAAGGCCACATGAAGTTTGGAGGTCTCTGAGCTCCTGAGAGCGACCCATTCTTTCACAAATGTTTGTGGAAGCCGTCTGCATGCCTAGGGGCTTGATTTTATACGTGTGTGCGTGTGCGTGCTTTTTTTTACTATAAGGGATGTTTGGTTTCTAACCCCATCATGATCGGTGATACAAAAAGCATGCTGCTACTACATGTCTCAGTGACAGCAGGCATAGGTAGCTTGTATCAAGCTACCTGCCCATGACAAGGGAGTCTGTCATGCGGGGGTCCTGTGTGGAAATCTGCAACACCTTCTTTTTTTTTTTTTTTTTTTTTTTTTTGTCATTACATAAAAATTTGGATCTCTGAGTCTGATGATATGCACCAGGTTCAACTTTAAGTTTATACTGTATCTCTTCTGTTATCATGAGAGTGAATTAAATATTTGGCCCCCTAACCATATAGCTGGTTAGTTTCTATTTATGTATATAGATATTCATGAATATTATTTATTTTTAACTTTTACATATTAACTAAACTACACACCACACTTTTTTTATTTTTTTGCTTTTACTTCTAGTTATGTTGTGTGTTTTTTGGTTTTCTGCTTTTTAAAAATTTTGTACAGTTATGTAATGTTAATGTAAAGTTTAATATTTTTTTTTTTTTTTTTGTATTCAGCAATTTCTGTGTAACACTCCGTTTTTGTTAATTAAATTATTATAAATAAAAGAAAAAATGGTATAATGAGGTTTTTATCCAATTTAATAAAAAAAATAAATGACCAACTAATTGATGATAAAAATAATCGTTCGTAGCAGTCCTACTGACAACAACCTTTTTCTGATCTTTCAAATGAGCAAAGTCACTCCACAGGTTCATTGTCAAAATCCTCCAGCGTAGGGTATCTATCCACACCTAGCAGTGTCCCCTTTTATTAGGCTGCTTTCACACTGCTTCGCCTCAGACTCTTGAAAAATAACTAGCGCTTTTGAGGCCTTTTTCAAGTGGAACATCCTGGACATGTGACTTTCTTTTGTAGCTCAAATTGGTCAGATTTGCACATTTTGAAATCTTACTGCATCTGAGCATTTAAAAAAAAAAAAAAAAAAAAAAGTTTGATTTCACTAAAAAAAGGTACTAAATAAAGCATGAGTTTTTATCAAGTCATGCTGTATTTTAATAGTGAAAACCATGTGTTAATGTTTCAGCTGTCCGTGGGGTTCCCCACTGACAGCTGAATGTAAAAGAAAGAATTGCCGGCAATTAAAAAATAATTAAAAACGGCGTGGGGTGGAGCAGTCAGATGGCTGGGAGCCAGCGTCTGGAGCGGAGCCTTCTCTTTTTCTCTGGTAGTGACTGGCATCATGATTGACCTTGGATCTACTTCGGGGGACTTTCTTTTATTTTTCTTTCTTTTAATAAAGGACTTATCAAAGACTGTCTTGTTTTTTGTTTCGTTTTTTTCGTGAATGGGTAGTGGTACCATGTATCCCATACTCATTTACATGGGGGTGAGATCTGGGGGATCCTTGCTAAAGTGAGGATTCCAGATTCTGATATGCCCCCTTCCGCCCGCAGACCCCCGCAACCACAGCCAGGGTTGTGGGGAAGAGGCCCTTGTTCAACATGGGACAAGTTGCTTTTGGGGGGGGGAGCCCCCCCCCCATGTTGAGTGCATGTGGCCTGGTATTGTTCGGGAGGGGGGGGGGGGGGCGGGGCGGCGCTTGCTCTTCCCCAGCTCCAAACCCCCCCCCCCCCCTTGTCGGGCTGCATGCTCGGATAAGGGTCTGGTATGGATTTTGGGGGAGGACCCATTTTTTATTTTTTGGCGTGGGGGTTCCCCTCAAAATTCATACCAGACCTGAAGGGCTTGGTATTGATGGTGGGGGGGGACCCCACCCCATTTTTTACATTTATTTTTTTAATTGCCGGCAATTTTTTTCTTTACATTCAGCTGTCAGTGGGGAGCCCCGCTGACAGCTGAAACAGCCTTACAGACCTTCCCACGTGTGTGGTGCGTTTTTTTTTTTTTTGGAGCGTTTTTGAGGCGGTTAACATTCATTTCAATGGGAAGAGGCTTTTTTTTTTTTTTTTTTTTTTGACTTCCCAAACATGCCTCAAAGATGCTGCAATCAGGCGTTTTTACACCGCACCGCAAGTGCAATGCCTCAGTGTGAAAACATACATACATAGATATACATTCACATACACAAGGAAGCCGTTTTCTTGAGCTTTGCAGGCATTTTTTTTTTAATGCAAAAACGCTGCAAACACTGGTGTGAAAGCAGCCTTAGGGTAAGAGAAGAATTCACTGTGCACAGGGTTTAGATCAATCCCCTCTGCTGGAGGATTGTGACCGTAACCTTGAGGGGTAAGCAGCTCTGATGTTCTAATGGTTGTGATAATTACTTCTATCAAGACTTTCAAGTGTGTTTTTAGCTTGCTGACTTTGACTTTGTTTCTTTGTTTCAGGAAGCCGGTCTCTCAATAGATGCAAGCCAAAAAGAACCATTTGTGGAACTTAACCGAATATTGGAAGCATTGAAAGTTCGAGTTCTCCGACCAGCCTTGGAGTGGGTATTTGATGAATTGGATGTATAGCACTTATCATATGATAGATGTTACTTCCAAAATAATTCTGTATGTTTTCAGATATAATCCTTTAGTCCCTTTTTTTGTTTATTTTCTTTTCCCCAACTCTTTTCTGTGTAGTATAAGATACCCATCTACCTTTTTCAAAGAGCAGAATCATCCAGTAATATAATTTTGAAAAATGTTAGGAGGATTATTGGAGACAAATGTGTAAAAGTAGATTTTTTTTTTTTTTTTTTTTTTTCCCCTTTCCAGGTGGGCAGTGTCAAACAGGGAAATGCTGATGGCTCAGAACAGCTCACTGGAGTTCAAGCTACACAGGTTATACTTCATTAGTTTATTGATGGGTGGAGCGGCCAACCAGAGGGAGGCGCTGCAGTATGCCAAAAATTTCCAGCCCTTTGCTTTAAATCACCAGAAAGGTAAATATATAATCCAACGCTCATTTTTTTGTGTTATTTGTAGAGCTTATTTAAAGGATATTTCAAACATGAATGCACACTTGCCTACATGTTGCTGCCCGCTGAAGCATTTACATCCTTCTGTAAAACCATCTTTTCACTGGCTATGCAGTCGATCCCCTTAGACTTATATGGGGCCATCTCCCTTGAAAGAAGACTATATCTTCTAGAAGTCCACAGAAATCGACTGTGCAGACTCAACCAATGCAAAGAAGATTTGTCCTTTTGTTCATTGACAACTTCAGCTCTCATCTTAGTCTTGACAATTGGGTTATAGTGCCATCTGCAGGATAGGACAAAAGATACAAAACAAAACTCAGACTGTGGATAGCCCTTTCTGGTGGTCAAACCACCCTCTCTGCTAGACACACAGGTTTTTGCGTGGTGTCAAGGAGTTCAAGCCAGGTTTCCTTGCTGGGATTTATTTCCCTATTATTTTTTGTTTTTGCTGGTCTTGCATAAGATTAAGGTCATTCACCTGAACCCTCTTTCTACCCAGCTAGTATCCTCCTCATTTGAATGAGGATATTTGGGCTTCTATTCCTTTGCCTTTTTAAACTAGTTAATCATAGTGAGATAGCGCTTCTGCGCTTGGACATGGTCAGGGCTGTTCACATTTATTTAATTGTCAGGGCGTCCTTTTGTAAGATGGTTTCTCTTTGTGGTCGCGGAGGGCCAGGCGGCTTCTGTGGTCGCCATTTCTTGTTGGATTCTCCAGACTATAGTTGGGGCTTATGCCATCAGACATCTGGAACTTCTGTTAAGGATCACTCGTTTGGGGTGGTGAAGGCACCATTCAGGCATCAGTTTCTCTGGTCTGAGAGACTGCTACCTTGTCACCTGTTTATGCCTTTATTAAGTTACAAAGCTGGGGCCCTTTCACACTGGCAGATTCCACCCACTCAGCGGGGGATCTGTCTGCTGATCCCTGCTGAGCAGGCAGATGACAAGTCTGTGTCCGCTCTGCTTGTACAGAGTGGACAAGGATACAGTCCGCTGTTTTCTATGGGGTGGTCAGATGTAAATGGACTGCATGTCCATTTACATCTGACCTTCACTTGATCCGATCTGCTAGACTGATAGGAAATGGATTCTCCATTCATCTGCTTTGATCAGATTGGATCGGATGCAGGTGGATGTAAACAGACATATGTCCGTTTACATCCCCCTTCCCATAGAGGTTAATGCATGGTCCAGGCGAGTCCCCCTTAAAAACAGGCAGGCAAACCTGATCGGTCTGCCTGTGTGAAAGGGCCCTTAGTCTGGTTGAAAAAAGACACAAGTCCATCCAGTTCAACCAGTAGAACATACCTTATATATTTATGTATAACTGTTCTTGCATCTTCAGATGACTGCTTTGGGTAGCAAGTTTTACATGTGTCAGTGAGACCATCTACACTTTGGGAACGTTCTTTATTTTAGGTCCTTGTTACTTTCTGCCCACCCCTCTTATGAGCACTGCTTCTGAGCATCCTATTTGTCAAGACTGTATATGAGAAAGTAGTATTTATTTAATCCACCATAAAATTCTATTATCTGAACACAGATAATTTTTTTTTTTTTTTCTTTTCTTTTATACTGCTTGTTTAAAGTGGAACTTGAGGTAATAAACAAAAAAAGAGCGAACGGGCAGAATTTTTAATGCAGAAGAGACATGCTTAGTCTTTTCTGCATTAAAGCTACCTACCTGATTGCCCACCCTGTACAGTGAGCTGTGCAGGTGCAGCTCACCATTCAAGTTTGGTAGTGCCGAATTTGACGGAACTCCTGTGCATGCCGGGAGTGACGTCATCTCCATCCAGTCAATGACAGCGGCCGGTGTTCGGGACCGGAAGCTGGCTGCTTAAAGATGTCAGATGGGGAGCTTGGGGTCAGCACATCGTGGGATTGGAGGTGAGTGTAGTTCCACTTTGCCACCAGCAGGGGCTACCCCTAGGCATCATTACCATGAATAGGATAAAAAAAATATTATTCTAGCAGCACAGTGGCTAAGTGGTTAGCACTTCCACCTAGAAGCACTAGGGTCATTGGTTCAACCACGGCACCACCTGCTTGGAGTCTGCATGTTCTCCCTGTGCCTGCGTGGGTTTCCTCTGTGTACTCCAGTTTCCTCCCACACTCCAAAGACACACTGGGAGGTTAATTGGTTCCTGTCTAAATTGGCCCTAGTATGTGTATGTATGGATGTAAATTAGGGACCTTCGATTGTACATTCCTTGAGGGTTAGGGACTGATGTGAATGTACAATATATATGTAAAAGTGCTGCATAAATTGACAGTGCTATATAAGTACCTGTAATAATAATATTCTAAATATTTTTCTATTTTTGTATGGTAGATATGAAATGCTAATGATTTCTCGTTTCTCCCTGTGCGACTTGACAGTGTTGTCAACAGGACTGGAACTGAGGGGAAATTATCTAAGGGGGACACAGGCAACAATAAAATGTGGATGATGGTTCCATATGTCCCCTTCCCTAACAAAAGATTGCCATCTGTGTCTCTCTTGGAGATTTCCCTTCATTTGCACTGCTGCCTATAACATTTTTACTGGCACAGAAAGTGAAGGTAAAAAGGAAATACTGTTAATTAACATTTTTTGCATTCTCAATCTGGCAGACTGTTACAAAGAAAAATAATACATTTTTTGAAGAAAATATAAAAATCATCTATATGCCCTATTTAAATTTCCAGGGGGTGGAGCATTCACTCACAGGCCTGCGTTACTCATTATCCAGTTTTCCTTTTGGAGAGGATCATTAGAGTACATTTCCCTAGGAGGAGCCACAAAGTCTATCAGTTTGTACACCTCCATGGTGCATCATTTATTCACAAGAAGTCCGATATTAATGTGTCAGCCACCCTGTCCGCACATGTAAACATGCCGTTTTCTTCCTGGAGAACTTTGTCTACTGGCACCTTTTCGTTTAGATTTGCATTTTTTTTAGTTTTTTGTTTTGTTTTTTTTAAGTTGGAAACACATTAAAGTGGACCCAGCATCAGTACCTGGTACCTAATAACACTTGCGGGTTAACTTTCACAGAGATCACAGTACTTCCCCTGATAATGCCTTCACCTCCTAGATTGTAAGCTCGAAAGAGCAGGACCCTCGATCCCCTCATGTTTTGCATTGTATTGGTATTGTTCTGTCACATGTTCTGTCCCCCTTTGTAATGTACAGCGCTGAGTGAACTATTGGCACTTTATAAATACTGTAGAATAATAATAATCTCCTATTCTCTCTGAAAGGATGAAGCCATCTTTTTTTTTCCAAGAACTGTCTGGGTTCATTATTCACTACCTAGACTGAGATACTAGCTCAGAGATGCTACCTGTACATTTCTTGACTGTGCGGATGTCTCACACAGATCAGACCCTGCTGCAGCCTCTTAACTTGTGACTAGCTACAAGGTTACAGTGTTCAAGGTCACTTTTCAATGATAAAAGGTGGAGCTTTTTTGAAAAGTTTATTTATTAGTTACTAATATAGCGCCGTCAATTCACATCAGTCCCTAACCCTCAAGGAGCGTACAAGCTAAGGTCCCTAACCTACATTCATACTAGGGCCAATTTAGACAGGAGCCAATTAACCTACCAGCATGTCTTTTTGAGTATGGGAGGAAACCGGAGTACCTGGAGAAAACCCACACAGGCACAAAAGTTATACTATTATATAAAGTTACTGAAAGGTCAGCTTTTATATGTTGCTTAATAAAGTTATCAGTTATGTCTTTAACAATCCTGTTCATCTGTGTGCTCTTAGACATCCAGGTGCTTATGGGAAGCTTGGTGTACCTGCGGCAGGGTACTTTGAGGTATAGAGAACTCGCCTTATGTTCATCTGTTGGATGCAAACCAGTGGGCGGACATCTGTGACATCTTCACTCGCGATGCCTGTGCCCTGCTGGGTCTCTCTGTAGAATCTCCTCTCAGTGTTAGGTAAATATTATTATTATTATTATTTTATTTATACTCCTTACTGACCTAGCGTAGTTTTATGCTAACCACGATGGAAAGGTTGGGCCAGAACGTTTTAGCCGACAGGTGAGGGTCAACATATTAAACCCCAGCCCCTTCTCTGTAACAAGTGATATTAAAACTGAACTCCCAGGAATTCAACCACTTTTAAAAATGTGCTGGAATACTATGCATTAAGTCTAACAAGGTGCATTCAACCTCATGGACTTATCTCTTTCCGTCTGACAGTTATACAGATCTCTGGGAGCAAAGCTATCCATATACTTCCAGAGCTCCGACGTTGGACCTTCTGGTCTCTCTTTCTGCAGCTACAGAGTCACATTAAGCTGCTCTGCCCACTCCTCCTGCTCAGTCACAGAGTTCTTTATATCATGTGAACTAAATCATAGATTACAGAGCCTTCTGTGAATGAATAGCAGAGAGGAGGGGCAGGCAGAGCTGCTGGGTATGAGAGGTCAGAGGCCTGGGAGTGTAGTGATCGCTGCACTCTTAGAGCTACCAAAAAATTGCAATTGTTTTCAATACATTCCTTGAAACTTCTGCATTTGTAAAGCTTGTCTGAGAGTTCAGAAAAAAAGGGAACAGGGAGCTTAAATTATACCTTGCAGAGCTCAGTGAGGAGAGTTCTAAGAGCTGATTGGAGGAAAGAGACCCACACCCCTCCACACAGCTCACAGAAACAGAGCTGAGGCTGTCAATCTGCTGGAGGTCCCTCCCCTGTCACCATGTTTCTTCTCCATTTCTCCATTTTTGGTGTCAGGAAAACTTGTCAGAAGTGACTCATGCTGATAGCAGAGGAAAGATGCAGCAGACAGAAATGACACTTGGTGGTCTTAACTGAAACAAGTACACACTTTAGTGGGATATGCTTTGTTCATATTTCATGTCAGAGGTTTGCCATCACTTTAACAGTGTTCAGTGGTATCTTGGGCTTTTCTTATCTGCAACGTGTTAACTCTTCCTGGTAGTGTTGAAAGTTAGCCTGCCCACTTCCATGTCCTTCATATTAGACCATCTCTGGTTGGTCATACTATATGCATGTCAGTAGCAATTTAGTTTTCTTTTACCTGTGAAGTGTATTTTGAGGGATAGTTGTACATATTTAGAATGAATGCATGTTATGATCAATGTTTGTATTTGATTTGTTTCTATTACCTTTATCCGGTTTAGCTTCTCTGCTGGTTGTGTGGCTCTTCCAGCCTTAATTAACATAAAAGCAGTAATTGAACAACGGCAGTGCACAGGAGTGTGGAACCAGAAGGATGAACTGCCAGTGAGTACAATTTATACCACCTAAGGAAGAATACTAAATTATACTTTACAGAATAATAGATGTCCACAAATTCTGTAGCAACGTTCTGTTCACTTTTCTTGTTAGTCTGTGTTCAACTTTGGTCCCATCCATGGTGATCCATTTCGATTAGTTCTCCCTGACATTTCTGCACATTGTGACCAGCTGCATTTCTGTTTACAGCCTAGTGGCCAATTATACTTGTTATTGAGAATAGCTGTTCTGATTGGATACAGCTGAAACACAACACCGTTTATTTTTTACTAATTAATTCGCTTGCTTTTGTGATAGTCCCCCAAAAAATCTTTGAGATATATATAGATATACAGTTGCAAGAAAAAGTATGTGAACCCCTTGGGATTAGGTGTAGTTTTGCATGAATTGGGCATAAAATGTGCTCTGAACGTCATCTAAGTCACAACAATAGAAGAACACAGTCTGCTGAACATAATACTACACAAACATTAGATGTTGCCATGGTTTAATTGCACATAACATGTAAACATTCACAGTGCAGGGAGGAAAAAGTAATGTGAGGCCCTAGCTTAATGACTTCTCCCAGAGCTAATTGGAGCCAGGAGTGAGCCAACCTTGACTCCAATCAGTGTGATGATATTGGATGTGTTTGCTGACAGCTGTCCTGCCCTTAAAAAACACACACCTGTTTTGGTTTACTGGTTTCAAGAAGCACTGTCTGATGTGAACCATGCCTCACAGAAAAAGAGCTCTCAGAAGACCTACGATCAAGAATTGTTGACTTGCATGAAGCTGGAAAGGGTTTTACAAAAGTATCTCCAAAAGCCTTGATGTTCATGTGTCCACGGTAAGACAGACTGTCTACAAATGGAGAAAGTTTAGCACTGTTGCTACTCTCCCTAGGCGTGGTCGTCCTGTAAAAATGACTGCAAGAGAACAGCGCAGAATGCTGCATGAGGTAAAGAAGAATCCCAGTGTCAGCTAAAGACCTACAGAAATCTCTGGCACATGCTAACATTTTTGTTGACACATCTACAATAAGGAAAACATTAAACAAGAATGGAGTACATGGGAGGACACCACGGAGGAAGCCATTGCTGTCCAAAAAGAATATTGCAGCACGTTTGAAGTTTGCAAAAGAGCACCTGGATGTTCCACAGCACTACTGGCAAAATATACTGTGGACAGGTGAAACCAAGATTGAGTTGTTTGGGAACAACACACAACACTATGTGTGGAGAAAAAAAGGCACAGCACACCAACATCAAAACCTCATCCCCACTGTAAAACATGGCGGAGGGAGCATCATGGTTTGGGGCTGCTTTGCTGCCTCAGGGCCTGGATGGATTGTTGTCATTGATGGGAAAATGAATTCCAGAGTTTATCAAGAGATTTTGCAGGAAAACGTACGACCATCTGTCTGCCAACTGAAGCTCCACAGAGGATGGGTGATGCAACAGGACAATGACCCAAAGCATACAAGTAATTCAACAAAACAATGGGTGCAACAGCACAGAATACGCCTTTTGGAGTGGCCCAGTCAGAGTCCTGACCTCAACCCGATTGAAATGCTGTGGCATGACCTTAAGAGAGCGATTCACACCAGACATCCCAAGAATATTGCTACACTGAAACAGTTTTGGGAAGAGGAGTGGTCCAAAATTACTCCAGATCGTTGTGCAGGTCTGATCTGCAAACTACAGAAAAACGTTTGGTTGAGGTTATTGCTGCTAAAGGATGGTCAACCAGTTATTAAGTCCAAAGGTTCACATACTTTTTCCTCCCTGCACTGTGAATGTTTACATGTTATGTGCAATTAAACCATGGCAACATCTAATGTTTGTGTAGTATTATGTTCAGCAGACTGTGTTCTTCTATTGTTGTGACTTAGATGACGTTCAGAGCACATTTTATGCCCAATTCATGCAAAACTCCACGTAATCCCAAAGGGTTCACATACTTTTTCTTGCAACTGTATATATATATATATATATATATATATATATATATATATATATATATATATATATATATAATAAAATCTCAAAATCCTCTTCTTTTTTTTTTTCCCTTCCACAAGCTATTCATGGAACTCTTGCCCATTGTAGTCTTTGGGATAAAAAAAAAAAAAAAAAAACATTGTCCATATCATATTTACTCGTGAGTTTTTTTTTTAAAATACACATTTATCACATCTAAAGCCATACATGTCACAATCTGATTATACAGGCATGGTCCAAAACTAAGTTTCGGGAGGGCCTGCTTAAAGCTGAACTTTAGGCAAATATAAAAATAATACATTTTAATGCAGCTCTGTAATTGTGGATACATTATAATATTAGACTTTTTTTTTTTTTTTTTTTTATATTTGCCTCCTGTGAGCAATGGTTTTGCACAGAGAAGCCCTGATTCTCCTCTTCTGGGTTCATCTGCCGGTGCTCCTGGCTCCTCCCCTCCTTTTGAGTACCCCCCACCCCAGCAAGCCACCTGCTAAGGGAGGTACTCACGCCAGCTCATTCCCAAGACCCACTGCCTGCATCTATTGACTCAGAAAATTCCCCCTCTCTCTTGTCATAGGATTTGATTGACCGCAGCAGGAGCCAATGTGTGTTTTGGTTTATTTATTTATTTTCTTAAGCAAGCCGTGAAAGTACCTGAATTTGGCCTGGCATCAGTCTCTTGCAGTCCCTGGAGGCTGGAGTGTGAGCGGGTTAAGCAACACAAGAAGCCAGCCAGTTCATGTGTTGACAAGAAGCATGTCACATGGATTAAACATAGAGCTTGAGAATGGTGCACTAGAGACGTCATTTATGGGTCATGCACAGAAGGAGAAAATGAAGGGGTTAATGTACTGGTCGCGTACAGTGGCAGGATGGAGATGAAGGGCTTGATGTTCAGATTTGGAGGGTAAGGGAGTTCAAAGGGTTAATGTACAGGTCACATGGAGACAACATAGAGATACTATGTGTAGGAGAGGAAGGGGCATGAAAGTGTTAATATATCTGCAGCAGCTGACCAATTCATTCTGTCTCCATTCACAAGTATTCATACACTTTTTTTTTTTTTTTTTTTCTCCTGTTGTAAGGGAAAGTGGGGGGATCAACACTGTAAACAGTACCTTGTGACCAATCACATGGTACCCAACCTCTTGGATTGGTTTGGTACAATGTTTCTGTGTACCTAGCCATCTGATGACAACTTGATACACACAGATTACTGGGTGGATCCCACCTAACGGTGCTGTATATGACTCACACAGGGTATGTCTTTGGCAGATTGGGGACCTTTTAGTTACCCAGTTAGAAAAGGAGTTATGAAAGTCTTGAGTTCTGATAGTGCAGTGGAATTTAAACTTTCTATGTTTGGGCAATTCTCTGATCTAATATAGAGCTTTCACATTTACCATGCAGACAAAGTTCTTTCAGTCACCATTGCTACTCCTTTTGTGCCGTAACCAATATAAAAAAGCAGGATCCAAACCTGGACATTTAAAGTATTCAGCCAATGTCCAAAGAGGGGTACTGACTCACCAGAAATACAAGGTGGTGTCCTCGGAACTAAAAACTATGCAAAATAACAAACTGGAACCCAAAGGTCTACTGTGTAGAGTAGGTCCACAATAGAACAAACGGCAGTCTCGCCCTCAAAGCTTTGACTACAAAAATTAAATATCAAATGCATACATTGAAGCAACAAGGTAGCCTCCACCACTCACCATTAAAAACAAATGACAACGTTGCCCTAATTTCAAGTTTAAAAAACTGAATGTAAACTGATGCAAAAAAAGCACAAAGAAGTGCACGTTACAACACCAGGGAATACGCTGTGCAGATATTTTACTGGCAGCCACTTGGTTCACTGATCCACAGTATGCCTTGAAAAGCAAGAGCTGTTGTACATCAATCTGTCTTCCATTACCAAATATTATAAAGTCAAAAAAGCCTCTGCCATGCTCCCAATTACAATGCTTAAGCAGCAGCTTCCACCCTTTCTAGAAACTTTTTATACTTTACCATTTTCCATAATTTGCTTTCTTACCCTGTTTCCCCGAAAATAAGACAGTGTCTTATATTAATTTTTGCTCCCAAAGATGCGCTAGGTCTTATTTTCAGGGGATGTCTTATTTTTCCATGAAACCCCTTTTGATCCTCCTGTGTCATTTTGATTGCCCCCTCTGATCCTCCTGTGTCATTTTGATTGCCCCCTCTGATCCTCCTGTGTCATTTTGATTGCCCCCTCTGATCCTCCTGTGTCATTTTGATTGCCCCCTCTGATCCTCCTGTGTCATTTTGATTGTCCCCTCTGATCCTCCTGTGTCATTTTGATTGCCCCCTCTGATCCTCCTGTGTCATTTTAAGTGATCCCCCTCCCCCCACCCCTGTGCCACTGAACACCTTCACCAGACATCCCCCCCCCCACCCCTTTATCAGACATTTCCCCCCTGGGGCCTTCCTGGGGACTGCCACTGGGCTGGCTGGGGCCTGGACCTGGGCTGGAGCAGGGTCTGCCACTGACTGAGAACCTTCAGTCATCATGAGGGCGGTGTCACCAGAGACAGACCAGCACTCACCACCTTCGCCACGTCCCGTCCGCTCTGATCCTCCTGTTCTTCTACACGCATCTCTCTCTCCCGCTCACTCCGACCTCTGCTCCGCCTCCACACAGCAGTGATGTCACTGGTTGCTAGACACCAGTCGGGGCGGCCCTAGCAACCAGTTTGCGGTAAATTAATTTTCATTACGAGACAGAGCCTAGGGGGGCCTTATTTTCGGGGGGATGCCTTATATTTCACCCAGAAGAAAACCTGTGTGTAGGTCTTATTTTTCGGAGGATGTCTTATTTTCGGGGAAACACGGTATATGCCAAGATTCCAACTCCATGTAACTTTCAGAAAGGCACACTCATTGCATTTGTATGACTTTGACTATGTTGCCATTTCAGTGATGCAGTGCATGCTTTCAATGTTTATTATTTTTTTTTTTTTCTCAGATTGAAGTGGACCTTGGCAAGAAGTGCTGGTACCATTCTATATTTGCCTGTCCAATCCTTCGTCAGCAAACCACAGACAATAATCCTCCTATGAAACTTGTTTGTGGACACATAATATCCAGAGATGCTCTAAATAAAATGTTTAATGGTAGCAAGTAAGTGACTTTTTATTTATTTACATGGTTACAGCATATGCTTGATGCTACTCACAGCTCTTTGTAGGCGTGCAGCAAAGTTGGCTTCATGCAGTGCTGATGCAACTGTTTTTTTTTCCGCGGACATTACTAAAATGTTAGTGACAGTTCCTTCAGTTCTTTCAGCCATGGCGTTGTGCAATGCACTGGATTGTGTTGCACCATGCTGTGCTGAAGAAAGTATTACATGCATTTTATTTTTCAGCACCCACCTCTGCATGGCAGTGGTGTGAACTGAGCCAATTGTAACAAAGGTAAATTGCTTTATCTTGTGTTGGGACTGTGTTGGGCAAAGGTTCCAGCACATTCCCAGTGTATCTGGCGTGAACAGGCACTGACTGTTTCCAGATCAGCTTCATCCAAACTGGTATTGAGCTGATTTTGTGTTGTCTTTACGTCTTATAAAGCATTATAAAAATACTTACAGGTGGATGTCTTTAATAGTGTTGCAACCTGCGTTGCTTAGTAGGTTTTGCCCTGTGTATGTTGCAATCACTCAGTGTGCCATCAGTCTATTCATACAGGTGCCATGCTCAGTAAACCTCTCTCCATGGCATTGCATTGCAATCCCACGAGAGTGCTGACTATCTATGTTACAGGGGGTGTGTATTAACACATTTAGAATTAACACAGGGAGTGAGGAGAGTTACATGTGTGTGCTGATTGGCTGTGCGGGGCTAAGGCACCATGGTAACATTAGACAAACCTGAGGCTCAGATTACTTGTATTGTGCATGCGCAAGATTCCCGCAGTGACATATCAGAAATGGCAGAGGTACTGGTGGGAAGGAATCAGACCATTGCAGTATAATAATAAAACGACATCAATAGTAAGAACACTGATACATTGTTTTAGCATGTCCCATTGTGTTTATAGATGCATTGTATTGTGGTATTAGGCTTGCTGTGGAGTATTTATATTGACTTTACTACCACTTTTAACCACTTGAGCTCCAGAGGATTTACCCCCCTTAATGACCAAGGCCTCTTTTTGCTACTCGGCGCTGCACTAATTCAACTGATAATTGCGCGGTCATGCAATGCTGCACCCAAACGAAATTTACGTCCTTTTTTTCACACAAATAGAGCTTTCTTTCGGGTGTAATTTGATCACCTGTGCGCTTTTTTATTTTTCACGCTATAAACAAAAAAAGGCCAAAAATTTAAGAAAAACAATATTTTTTACTTTCAGCTAAAAAAAATATATAGTAAACTCAAAGTTAGGCCAAAATGTATTCTGCTCCATGTTTTTGGTAAAACAAATCCCAATAAGTGTATATTGATTGCTTTGTGTGGATGTTATAGCGTCTACAAACTATGGTATAAATACTGCAATTTACGCCATTTTTTATACAGCGCTGCGCTAGTTTAACAGACAATTGCGCGGTCATGCAATACGGTACATAAATGAAATTTACATCCTTTTTTTCCCCCACAAATTGAACTTTCTTTTGGTGGTATTTGATCACCTGTGCGGTTTTTATTTTTTGCGCTATAAAAAAAAAGACTGACAATTTTGAGGAAAAAAAAACAATATTTTGGACTTTTTGCTATAAAACATGTCCAGTAAAAAAAAAAAATGCAAAAATCAAATTTAGTCATAAATGTCTGCCAAAATGCATCCTGCGACATGTCTTTGCTTAAAAAAAAATCCCAATACGTGTAAATTAATTGGTTTACGTGAAAGTTATAGTGTTTACAAATGGCGGGAAAGATACTGGGATTTTTAGGTTTTTTTTTTTTTTATACTAATGCGGCGATCAGCGAATTATGGCGGCGATCAGGGACTTATGGCGGGACTGCGGCGGACATTCTGACATTGGGGGGTACTGACTTGGGGTCACTGACATCCCCAAAAACACTAATACAGTGATCAGTGCAAAAAAAAAACACACTGACACTGTACTAATGGCAATGGGGAGGAAGGGGTTAACTTTATTTTGCAGGGAAGGGTTATAGGAGTGAGGGGAGTGTTTTACTAGGGGGGGGGGGGTGTGTGTACTGGACGGGGACAAGGCTGATCGAGAAAGAGAAACTGAATAAGTATAAATCAGCACACATCAACATCCTTCCCCTGAAGTACTAATAAAACATATCATTGACTTAAACCCAAAAACCCCACAATTATAGTGAAAAAATCCCAAAAAAAACCCACAATTATAAAAAAATCAAGACCCAAAAAGATTACCCAAAAAAAAAAAATAAATCCCAATATATATAATGTGTCCAAACAAAGATCAATTTCTTGATAGGAAGACGCTTCCTACTCCACTGAAGAAGATGCAAATCAATCACAGGTGCTCTTCAAATACCTCAAAAAACAAAATCTCAACATAGTATATTACCTTTTAAATCCCAGAACTAAAGTGCCACACGTGTATCATGCAAAAAAAAAAAAACACTCCAGTGTCACAGCACTCGTGAAAAAAAAAAAAAAATTTAATAAATATCACTGCAAACTATATATAAAGTGCATAATTACCCTAAAACAAACAGATTCCAGCTTGTAATCAACCACATATGTACAGGGTGTCCTTAGATTGGTATCCTCTTGTTCCTCAGGACCTCACAAACAGACCAGGAATCAGTATGTGAATTATAATCACATATAAAATTTATTGTAGCCTCTTACATATAAAAACGATAAGATCAGCAAGACAGCATCAAACTCCTCATGCCCAGTATACGATCCTCTTTTCGTGTGTAGAGGGTCTCCCAATCACCAGGTAATTCCCCCTTGCTACTCCTATCCAGCACTATCACTTTGTAGCTCAGGGGGACACCTGAAGTGCACCGTTACTCTCCAGACCTCCAACACACAGGGATTCCAGAATCCAAAATGGCTGCCGCAGCACTTCCAGGAACGTCACGTGCCCTGGGCGCGTTTCGTCTCTTCCGGACTTTGTCAACAAGGATACGGACATAAGGTTCCAGTTCTTTAAGTACCCACTCCTAACCTGGCGGAAATACCTACATAAATACAGCGGCCATCTTACAAAGTGGAAAATTGAGATGAATGACTACCAAAGCTGATATACCATGCTAGATAGTCCATAGAGGAAGCAATATTTTTTTTTTTTTTTTTTTTTTCCTTCACATGAGTGCTGTGACACTGGAGTGTTTTGTTTTTTTTTTGTTTTTTTTTTTTTGCATGATACACGTGTGGCACTTTAGTTCTGGGATTTAAAAGGTAATATACTATGTTGAGATTTAGTTTTTTGAGGTATTTGAAGAGCACCTGTGATTGATTTGCATCTTCTTCAGTGGAGTAGGAAGCGTCTTCCTATCAAGAAATTGATCTTTGTTTGGACACATTATTTGGACACTTTGCATATTGGGACTTTATTTTATTTTTGTTCTTTTATATATATTTGATATTTTTTATTTTTGGGTAATCTTTTTGGGTCTTGATTTTTTTCACTATAATTGTGGGTTTTTGGGAGAAAGAGAACTGTTTCTCTTTCTCGATCAGCTCATCCTCGAGCTGACAGGGAAGTGACAGACAGCACAGCTACTGCAGCTGTGCTGTCTGTCACTGTTTGCCGCCGATCGCCGGGAAACAGCCGCTAAGGTCCGGCTTTGACCCGGCGACTCACACCTGCGGCAGTGATCGGCGGGACAGATAGGGCGGCGGTGCGCCTCGCGTGCGCCCCCTATTTTGTTTACAAAACACACGTTTTAAAAACGTGATTTTTGCCTGCGAGTGCCGCCCTGCCGCCGTATATCTACAGTGGCTGGGCGGCAAGTGGTTAAGTGAGGTTTTAAAAATGAAGTAGATTCACATTAAATGGCCAGAAGCTTGTGGGCATTGGACCATCACTCCATATTACTTAGCCAAAAGTGTGTGGACACTTGCCAAATTGCAAGTTTGTTCAGCCAGTGTTATTAGCACATCTTTTGTTAGTATCTGGAAGCCCCTTTAAATACGAGAGCCCCCAAATATCTGTCCATCCCCCTAGGTGAATGAGTGCAAGCTAAATAGTACCTCTTGTTACTCATTCACAAAAAAAGTAAATAAAAACACTCGTACTGTGAAATAAGATCCATCCTTTGTCTTCAGAACTGCCTTAATTCTTCATGGCATAGATTTAACAAGGTGTTGGAAACATTCCTCTGAGATTTTGGTCCATATTGACATGATAGCATCACGCAGTTGCTGCATATTTGTCGGCTGCACATCCATGATGCGAATCTCCCATTCCACCACATCCCAAAGGTGCTCTATTGGATTGAGATCTGGTGACTGTGGAGGCTATTGGAGTACAGTGAACGCATTGTCAAGAAACTAGTTTTGAGGTGATTTCAGCTGTGTGACACGGTGCATTATCCTGCTGGAAGGAGCCATCAAAAGATGGGTACACTGTAGTCATAAAGGGATGGACATGGTCAGCAATAATTCTCTTGTAGGATGTGTCTTTTAAATGATGCTTAATGGGCCCAAAGTGTGCCAAGAAAATATCCCCCACACCATTACATCACCACCTACAGCCTGAATGGTTGATACAAGGCAGGATGGGATCCATGCTTTCTGTTTACGCAAAATTCTGACCCTACCATCTGAATGTCATAGCTGAAATCGAGACTCCTCAGACTAGGCAACGTTTTTTCCACTCTTCTATTGTCCAATTTTGGTGAGTCTGTGCGAATTGTAGACTCCGTTTCCTGTTCTTAGCTGACAAGAGTGGCACCCGGTGTGGTCTTTTGCTGCTGTAGCCCATCTGCTTCAAGGTTCGACATGTGCGTTCAGAGATGGTATTCTGCATACCTTGTCTGGTTTGAGATGATAGAAAGGCAACAGTAACTCAAGTATCCACTGATTACAGTCTGCCCAATCTCCTCTGACATCAGCAAGGCATTTTCGTCCACACAACTGCCACTCACTGGATATTTTCTCCTTTTCGGACCATTCTCTAGTAAACCCTAGAGATGGTTTTGCGTGAAAATCCCAATAGATCAGCACCACTCAGACCAACCCGTCTGGCATCAACAACCATGCCATGTTCATTTAAATCCCTTTCTCCTCCATTCTGACTTCAGCAAGTCTTCACCATTTCTAGATGCCTAAATGCATTGAGTTGTTGCCTTGTGATTGACTGATTAGCAATTTGTGTTACCAAGCAATTCAACAGGTGTACCTTGTAAAGTGGCCGGTGAGTGTATGTTAGGCTGGCCATCTACATCAAAGTAATCCCTCTCTGGCCAGTCCCTACTCTGCTCTGCAAAAAGCAAATGCCCCAGTGGATATAGTGCCAATATTAGGCAAATAGACACAAGCTATAGGAAACAAATAAGATATACCTATGTCTTAAATCCCAATAGCTTATACATATACAGTATATAACCCATCAGGTGCTAAAGGGTTGTGACCACGTGCTAACACTGCAAGTTCTGAATATACCCTCTGCACACTGTTATACACCCTTTCCAGAAAACTTTGCACAAAAACAGGAATTTTTTTTTTCCCACCTACATTGCAATTCAATAGATCCACATAACTTACAAGGAGTTACACCTAACTGTGGTAACTTGCTGCCACAATGGCAGACTGAATGACAGTGGTGCTTCAGTGATACTTCCATTGCAATTGATAGATCCATATTTTGTCAGTTACATTGCGCAGGATACCCACTGGCCAGTGTGTACGCAAAACAGCAAAAAAGACTGGGTTCAGGTTGAACTTGTGGTCATCACAGACAAAAAAGAAAATCCCAGCAACACTTGCCAGCCAGCTTGCGAAACAACCAATTTGACCCCGTCTAACAGTTTGCGTTAAAAACAGAGAGTTTTGTTTGGCTTACGCATGTATTTGCAAATGTGTGCACAGTCCCACGTCAAGGGTCCTCTGTATACTGTGGACCGAACTAAAATTTTCAAATTCTCCATTGTAGGAGCACATGTATCAATGAATAGGTAGAGGACAGGTGTGCCTGGAGGAGCCCATACCTCCTTAAAGGTATAGGGATGCATGTGACGCCCAGCTATACCAAATGACAGCAAAGGCATCCAGTGTGTCCTTGTGTCCAGAATAGCCAACTACACAAAAATGGCAACCGTCCCAACCTATATGTCAAGGTCCTACCTTTCCACAGACCATTTGCTGGCATCCATCTTGGGTGTCTGCAAAGCATTGTGGGATCCTTTATGCTTTCAGCCCTCTGTGGCTCCTCCCCCAGAAGGTGGCGGCTTATCATATATAAGTCTGCTGTTTGTGGCTGTCCATTGCATTCGTGTCCTGTCTGTTGCACAACAGCAAGCTCCTGTTTAGCTACTCATTGCTTTCCTGGATACCGACTCGGCTTTGGCTAAGACTCTTCCTGGCTCCTGATCCCGGCTCTGGCGATCATTCTTCCTGGCTCCTGATCCCGGCTCTGGCGATCATTCTTCCTGGCTCCTGATCCCGGCTTTGGCTACGATTTCCTCTGTTGGACTTGCATAGACTCTTGTCTTATTTTTATATTAATAAACCTACCTTTAATTGCACCTCCTTGTGTGTCTGGCTCCTCGTTCCCTGACACTATAACCAGCCTTAGCAGTAAGGTGCACACGGAAGGGCAATGCACATCACAGACAAAAAAGGAAATCCCAGCAACACTTGCCAGCTTGCGAAACAACCAATATGGCCCTGTCTAACAGTATGCATTAAAATCAGAGGGTTAGAAAGGGCCATATTGGTTGTTTTGCAAGCTGGCTGGTAAGTGTTGCTGGGATTTCCTTTTTTGTCTGTGATGTGCATTGCCCTTCCGCGTGCACCTTACTGCTAAGGCTGGTTATAGGTTGGGACGGTTGCCATTTTTGTGTAGTTGAGCTTGTGGTCAGCCCAAAGCTCACCCTAATTGGTAACAACTCAAAAGTTTGGATTTTCCTTCAGTTTCAGTCCCATTGCCAAGGAGAAGGCAAATCTCCCTGAGAAGAATGTGGACTGTAAAAAGACTTGAATGATTATTATGCCTCGCTGTTCTATCAAACACTAATTCTGGCCACAGACTGTCTGAATCTCGGCCGGTTCAGTAGGAAGACAAAAAAGGAAATCCAGTAGGAACCGGACGATATTCAAACCATATATGGGAGGCTGAATGTACCAGCTTTATTGATCAAACAACTTGGGTAAAACTAGCCTGCTGGATTTTCCATATGATTATTGGTAGCAGTGATTATTGCTAGCGGGTATAACAGCTATGTTATCCCAGTGGGGATTGCAGCCCTGCCACCCTGCCGGGAGACCACAATGGATTCCCTTGTCAACACTGTCAACCCGTGGTTGCAGGAAAGAAATTCCCTCAGTCTATGGCCAATCTAAAAGTTTTTTTTTTTCTCTTTTAGATATACTTTAAATTGTTGATTGGTGGGGGTCCCGGGTGAATAGATCCTTACCAGTCAGCAGTGGGAAGACAGGAGGACTTGCTTTCTAACAAAAAGCAATATGTTATAACCCAACACATTTTTGGGCTGATCTGTAGACTGAATTCTGACTGACTGCTATGGCTTACTATTCTTTTCTGTTTGTAACACCTTACTGAATAAGTTATTTTGTTGTTTCTCCAACATGCTTCTTAACGCATTAAAATGTCTCTTTCTGCAGATTAAAATGCCCGTATTGCCCGATGGAGCAGAGTCCAGGAGATGCTAAGCAGATCTACTTCTGAAAACAGGGACTTGTTCCTATAGTGCTGGATGGCCTCATGGTTTTTTTATTTTTATTTTAATTTTTTTTCATGTGCATTTAAGAAAAGAGAAGCAGAAAACCAAGATCATCCTGAAAGATAATTCCACCAAGACACTACTGACATGTAAAATCCTGACAATAAAATATCTTGATCGGACCAGGCAACCTCTTAGCATGGTCTCCATACCTGACCAAGCATCGTCACTGGTCAAGTTATGCAGGTTTTTGTACTTGCTAAGCAAAAGATGATGTAAACATTTTTATTGTTCATTACCAAAATACTCTTGATCCTCTCCTATTATTTCGTTTGTGTAGGCAAACATTAAAGCTCTCTCAGTATGCTGCAGAGAACTCCTTTTTTTTTTTTTTGGTCTGATTTGTGAGTTTAGGCTTGAGATGACCGTTGCCTGAGCTCAACAGCTTCATCCAGGCTGTGTAATGTCCTCATGCAGAAGGCGGACCAGTCTTCGAGGAGAAAGCTATCAGACAGATTTTAAAGAATGGTTCTTCTCTAGATAAGCTGGAGACAGGAGCTGTCTGTTTTCTTTCCCCCACCACATTCAGTTGAACATGTAGACTCAGGTAAGCGAAGCATAGGTTTATGGATTGGCCAGTAGGACTGCATCTGGCAGGAGTCGGATAGTGCCTGCACTTTCATCTGACCTTGTGTCTATGCCTAACGTTACGTTTTTAGAGTTTGGCGTTCACTGTTTACATTGTTGTCCACACATGTTGGTCACTGGGTGGACATACTGTTAGCCTTGCCAATGGCATTGTATTTTAACAGTTTTATTATATTGTAACACATTCACAAGGAGAGGTGAAGGAGACTGCAAACAGACAAGGGATCATTCACATGGGCACTCGGCAGCATGAAGCTGGAAAAGCCATTTGTTTATTTTTTCTGTACTAGTGACTAACTGGGGTTTATTTACTAAAGCTGGAGAGTCCAAAATCAGACTCCCTTCTGCTTAGAAACCAATCAGCTTCTAACCTCAGCTTGTTCAATGAAGCTTTGGCAATGAAACCTGGAAGCTGATTGGTTTCTATGCAGAAGGGAGTCTGATTTTGGACTCTCCAGCTTTAGTAAATAAACCCCCCTGCGTCCAAGCAGCCCATATAAGTGAATGAATATGCATTGGCTGTATGGGACTCAACCGCACAGCTCAATCTGACAGGTGCACAGACCTGGTCACAGAGCTTGTTTGTTGGGGTCTGTGCCATAGTCCCTGCGTACCTATCAAACTCAGCTGTGCAAGTGTGTTCTTACAGCTGAGTCCCTAAATCTATATTGGCTGCCTGCACACAGCTCAGCTCTAGTACAGAAAAATAAATTTCTTTCTTCACTCTGTATGGGGCTGTGTGATCGATCCCTAAGTAATTGAGTGCAAATGAATTGAATGCAAAAGATAGCCAGTAGCAGGAGAGATGATCTCTGATAAGATAATATGCACCCTGTTCATTTTGTGTATGTTTGTTTATTTTAGATCCCCCCTCAGAAGACTTCATTATTGTTTGAAAGGTTTGATAAAATAATTATATATTTCAGCCAGGCCCCACTGTATGCTTCCTCTTCCCTCCTGGTCTGGTTGTTACCAGATAAAATGACAAGTTAAACTTTGATTGTTTTAGCCATTCAGACCCCTTTTTTTTTTTTTTTTATAATTTTTTTTTTTTTTCTCGAGTTCTTTAATTGTTATTATAGAACTATGTTGTGAATTCTATTCCCTTGTATGTTGTATATAACTGAACAATACTACAGAGGTGTCTGGTAAAGACCATAGCCAATAGAAAGTTTAACCTGTATTTTTTTTGCTGAGAAAAAAATTTGCTGTAATATTCAGAGTTTCCTTTTGAAAGAGTTCCCTCCTCCCCCCCCCCCCCCTTTTTTTTTTTTTTTTTTTTCCCCCTTGCTGTACTTAAAACACGAGCGACTTGTAAATAAACCCAATGTCTATAATTTATATAAAGAGTGAGATGCTATTTGCTGCTAGAATATAATGGGGAGTTATATTGTGCTTTTATTGAATTTAAGAACTGTTTGTGTGACCAGAATATTCAATAAAAAAAAAAATTATGACTTTGGCTTTCTTGGTGCTGGGTCAAGCAGTGTAAAAAAAAAAAAAAAAAAAATGATGTAACAAACAAAACATACATAAAGGAAATGTCAAAATGCCAAAAAGCAGTTTTTTTTTTTTCTGCTGCTAGAAGCTGCAGCTTGAAATATGCTTCTAGCCTACAATAGTGTGCATGGATACATAGGATAACACTACTTCTAGGGGCGAAAAAGAAACTAGTGTCCATGGAGCTAAAAGATTACTGACTTATCAGCTTTTGCTTGCTAAAAGCAAACCTGTTATGGGTGTCTGAGAGAAGTGACCCCCTATACCCAAAGGTACCGTTTTAGATCTGCTGCTAGAATGTTTTGCAGCAAGTGGAAATGAGTAAAGCAAACACTTTTAAACGAATGCAAAAAACTTGCGTTTTCATTGTAGATAGAGTAAGGGAGGGTTATAACCTGTTAGGTTTTTCTTTTTTTACCATCTGTGTCTCATTGGGGAGGTTACCCTTCCCTTTCTGTCCCATAGTCAAATTAAGAAGTGAGAGGAAATCTTTCCACAGTGAAGGAATCCTTACATCTAACACCTGAAAAAATGCATAATAAAACACTTGCCTAAGTCAATAAATGAGTGCATAGAATGAGTAAGCATGCAGCTGTCCTAATAGTGAATAATGCAATAATCACCTAATGAAACAATGATGAATAAAATCAGCGCATAAATAAATATATACTTCTACACTAGCAGAGTGAAAATATGACACTAAATATACACAAATATTTGAATCATTTGACATAAGCCCATCAACTGAAAAAAATAGTGATGAAGTGCAAAGTCCTTATTGATCCACCGAAATCACCACGTGAACAACATAACGATAATTGATTGAGTAAAGTGCACTCAGATATCGCCACATGCTCCAGAGGATAACCCCCCCTGGGGTATCTGTATATCACATGAAGTGAGCGGCTCACCCGATCGTTGTCGCTGCACATGAACAATACATCTCTTCTGGCGGGGGAAGTAAGGTGGATGCCTCATTACAGAATAAGTCTTGAGGCCCGGCCCTGACACGTGTTTTGTCACCTGACTTTATCAAAGGAGTGCTAAAGTGTGTGTGTGTGTGTATATATATATATATATATATATATATGTGTGTGTGTGTGTGTGTATATATATATATATATACATATACACAGTTGTGTTCAAAATAATAGCAGTGTGTTGAAAAAAAGTGAATAAAGCTGAAAATCCTTCTAATAGCTTTTATTTCCATCCACACAAATGCATTGGGAACACTACACATTCTATTCCAAATCAAAACATGAAGAAAAATAAATCAAATTTGTGTTGTTCCTCCAAAAAAAATTGAAGAAAAGTGAATATTAGACTGTTCATAAAAAAATCGCAGTGTTTGTATTCTTCTTTACAAACTCAAACATTCACTATATAAACTGAAAAATGTTTGAAGATTTTGCTTTCCTTTGAATCACTTAATGAATATTTGGTTGTAGTCGCACTGTTTCTGAGAACTGCTGTACATCTGTGTTGCATGGAGTCAACCAACTTCTGGCACCTGTGATCAGGTATTCCAGCCCAGGATGATTGGACATTCCACATTCCTGCATTTATGATGTCACCCCACAAGTTCTCTATTGGATTAAGATCCGGGGATTGGGCTGGCCACTCCATAACATCAATCTTGTTGATCTGGAACCAAGATGTTGCACGTTTAGTGGTGTGTTTGGGGTGGTTGTCTTGTTGGAACACCCATTTCAAGGGCATTTCCTCTTCAGCATAAGGCAGCATGACCTCTTCAAGTATTCTGATGTATTCAAACTGATCCATGATCCCTGGTATGCGATAAATAGGCCTAACACCGTAGTATGAGAAACATCCCCATATCATGATGCTTGCACCACCATGCTTCACTGTCTTCACAGTGTACTGTGGCTTGAATTCAGTGTTTGGGGGTCGTCTGACAAACTGTCTCCGGCCACTAGACCCAAAAAGAACAATCTTACTTTCATCAGTCCACAAAATGTTGCGCCATTTCTCTTTAGGCCAGTCAATGTGCTCTTTGGCAAATTGTAACCTCTTCAGCACGTCTTTTTTTCAACAGTGGGACTTTGCGGGGGCTTCTTGCAGATAGCTTGGCTTCACATAGGCGTCTTCTAATTGTAACAGTACTCACAGGAACTTTACACCTTCTTTCATCTTCCTGGAGCTGATTGTTGGCTGAGTCCTTGCCATTTTGGCTATTATTCTATCCATTCGAATGGTAGTTTTTTGCTTTCTTCCACGTCTTTCAGGTTTTGGTTGCCATTTTAAAGCATTTGCGATCATTTTAGCTGAGCAGCCTATCATTTTCTGTACTTCTTTATATGTTTTCCCCTCTCCAATCAACTTTTTAATCAAGGTACGCTGTTCTTCTGAACAATGTCTGGAACGACCCATTTTCCTCAGAATTTCAGAGAGAAATGCACTGTAACCAGCATGTACAACATTTGCTGCCTTCCTTCCTTAAATAAGGGCAATAATTGCCACCTGTTTTTCAAAGAATGAATGACCTCACTAAGAGAACTCCACACTGCTATTATTTTGAACATGCCCCTTTCAATTAGTGATTCAATTACACAGAATCAGCAGCATGCATGTCATGACCGTTGGGTCTGTTGGATTTCTATTACTCTACTACACCTGCTAGTAAATTATTTGCCATGTAGAAATATCATTTCTACCAAAAACAGTGATTGATCAGGTTAGTGATGTCTGACTGCTATTATTTTGAACACAACTGTACATGTACCTAGTGAAGGTTATTGACCATGGTATAAACTTGTGAGGGATTTGGTCGCAGCTTGGGTCTCCGCCTAACACCCCCCCCCAAATGAGGCGATTGGCTCTTGGCTTCAGTAGA